GTGCATGAGATAGAAGAGTTTTCATTTCTTTTACTGGAACACCTCTTCACCCAAACCCCACCAAGAATTTGTCTTTCTTTTCCTGAGAAACTATTTTCCTTTTATTAAAAAAAAAATTATTTATACTTTAAATTGTTTGTAATATCATCATTTACACTTGCAAATCTCAATAACTTTTTGTCTAAAACCGATATCAAAGTATCCATAAATGACAGGGTCAGCACTAAACTTCAAAATAAACATATCCTGAAGTATATGAATAACATTGATGTCAATTCCCCCTTCAACGTAAAACCATAGGGAGTGGTCAAAATGGCTGATTATTAACATGGTCGTTGTTGGAATAGATACTACAACGTATAAACAAAACATAGTCAAAAACATCCTGTAGAAATTAACATGGATAGGTTTTTGGGCTCTCCTGTCTGCATGATCTGTTGTAGGCTCTGATTGGATAAAAGAAGATTCAGCCTCCATTGCATTTCTATCATGTACCATTGATTGATCCTTTCTGGTTCTCTCTCGCCGTCGTACAGATAATCTCATAAGAACTATACCAATCTTTCTATACAGAAGGCAACTACAAATAAAAAATGTTCCGAGTAAAACTGAAATTGCAAATGTCTGCAAGACTCCAATTTCTGGGTAGTGTTCCGTTCGAATCCAGCAGTAAGTTCCTGATATATTTAGATGGTTTCCATGCGGCCCGGTACCAGAGGAATAGAAACATGGTATCCCCGTTAATAAGGATGTGACAATGGATGCCAGAATTGCCAATCTTTTGTGTTTATCTGTCATTCTTCTGCCGTATGGCTTACATAGTTTCAAATAACGCTGAACCGCTATTATCACTATCAGTCCTGCAGATTCTACCACAAAAGATACGGTTAGAAAAAAGAATGTTTTGCACATGATATCCGATGGATAGTTCAGATTAAAAAATATCAGAGTGAAAAAGAAAACAGTCGTTCCGCAGGAGGCGACCAAGTTAACTCCAGATAAAAACGTGATAAAATATCGGTTGTCATTTCTTGGCATTTTAAATAGGTGAATATACAGCACAAGAATGTTGCCTAAAATTCCAGTAAGAAAATAAATCCCTAAAAGTACTCCTGTAGGAATAAGTTTATGTCTGAAATATGAATTCCAGTATTCCATATCTCCCAACATGTTTGTACTGTTTTCCATGGTAGATAAATTCATATAGCTTTGTTTGTCGTGCTGTTGACTATATTTGAAATGTTTACCTTTTGGTGAAAGGAAATTTATAACAAGGAAACACTAAATATCAAATTCATCCTGTATTGTCATTATTTCATATCATTTCATTGATTTTTTTTTTTTTTTTTTTTTTTTTTTTTAACAAAAGGAAATCTTTCAGTATATTCTTCTTTTCAGATTTTCAACACATTTCAATTAATATTTACATGTACCCATTGCTTAAAAGACAAATTTGCATTGCGAATCAACTTATTCGTATAGATTCATGTTTGTTTTTCGAAATATATTACAAGTTAAAACTTCTAAAGATTATCAAAGGCATTGGGGCCGTAATTTTGAATATTTTTTCTTAAAAATATAAATCTATAAATTTAATCAATATTAAGGTAAATCTCCGTTTAACAAAACTGATTTTCTGAAGAATTTTTTTTTTTTTAATTTAACAATGATGTACATATACATATATACATACTGATTTTTATTGGAAAATATAAATAAGTGCCTGGCTATAGTCTCGTACTCATTTTAATTTTCAAATAAAAATCAGTAAAGGCTACTAAACCAATAAAAAAAAAAAATAGTATTTGAAATTATTAGCTAGTAATCTTGAACGACCACACCCTAAACTTATTCGTTTATGTATGTATCCGAATCTCACAGAATGACTAAGCTTTGGGTCTTATGAAACCTGTTTTCAGTAAATTCTATAATATCGGTATTTATTTTGTAAACGGTATTCAGCTTATATAATTCTTTTCCTACACAGAACTAGAGTTTAGGACGGACGTCGCCTTTTATGACTCATTTAAAATCTCCTTTTCGCAAGAAATAAGATTTTTTTTTTTTTTTTTTTTAAATTTTCTTATGATCAGAATCACGTTTACTTTGGATAAGAAGAAAAATACATTTTTGTGGCTGATATTCTTTCTATCGAAATAAATGGTCACAAACTATATATTTATTATAAAGTCTGTTGAAAACTGTACATGTATATATTTAATCAGTGAAGTGAATGGATTGAAAATTTTGCTATCAAATGTACAAGAACAGTTTACTCAAAATATATTTAACCGTATTGTAACTAAGAAACAAGTTAGCAGCAATTTCTGCTACGTATCATTTCCATCTTTAGTCTGATTATCTGCATGTAAACAATTTTAGTATCGGAAAAACAGGCATTTGTGAACAGGGAGTGAGTTTCCTTGTGGTTACTGTTGCAGCGTGAATATTTCCTTAAACGCCTTATCATTATAGAGAACACTTCCTCCATACAATAATTTCCCTGAATATCATCATTCTCTCGTATGTACCCACACGTATCTATGATCGTTAAGGTCTGACGATACGTTCCTCTATCTTTGCACCTAAGCGTAGAATATCAAACATAATTTTGTTATTATTGTTATGAAATCGTGATGTCTAAACTGGTTTCAAAATGTCTCAAAAAATATACACCAATAGCTGTAATATCAGCAATTCAAGTTATTTCTAAGAGGGTTATATAGGAAATACCATCCTAACTCTGGAATCTTGCACAAATGTCTGGTAATGCATGGCCGTAGGAACCGGGGGGGGGGGGGGGGGGCTCCCCAATAATTTTGCCGATATATAGAATACTATAGAAAACATAGCTACCATATGCTTGTGCCCCCTCAATAATAACGCCTGATGACCTTTTTTTTTTTTTTTTTTTTTTGCTTAATTGTCAAGGAATTTTTGTTGATAGTGCCCCCCCCCAACTGAAAATGTATGGTATGCCCCCCTCCCAAACTGAAATTGCTTCCTCCGGGTCTGTAATGTTCCTAAAATTTTTGTGAGGAAACATAACTTGTTAAAGCAACCATAAATTCTGAGGGGAAAATTACATATAAAATTGAAAAACGCCTCATCAGATGTTAATATTGTAAATCTAATCCTTGGTTCATTGAAGGCGCTGCAGATCCGTTTGTTTGAAATTGTGTTTGAAGCTTGCGTGATATTTGATATAAAAGAAAAAGTTATTCTTATTTTTCAATTTGGTCTTCTTTTTTCCCTAGTCATTTCCACCCCATCCCTCCCAACCCCACCCAAGACCTGCTCGTATACTGAAGCAAATAAAAAATGACTTTGACCCCCCCCCCCTTGGAAAACGTGGACACCACCACCAATATCACGAAATAGGTTTTATTCACGTAGGGGAAAGGGATTTTACTTGGGGGGGGGGCAAGAAATTTTTTGGGTTTGATGCGATCGGAAAGGGGAATTAGTTTTTTTTTTTTTTTTTTTTTTTGCTTGTCACGATGTTCTGGGAGAATTTTTTGACTGGGGTGGAACTCCCCCCCCCCCCTCCCCCTGGAAAAAATTCCTGGATCCGCGCCTGAAAGAGATTCTTATGAAAATGTGATGTGGACCAAACAAACTCCATGAACAGCACCTCTCCGACTTGCTTTCCCAATAAATACGTGTTCCACCGAGAGTTACCTCTCTTATGTCATGAACCCATTAAAAAAAAAAGCCCACGGGCCAACAAAGCTCTCACCTGAGTTTAGCCTTGCTGTTTTTAACATTATTTTTAAAAAGATTTTCTATATTCCTATGAAAAATTGTGACCCCAAATTCTAGCCCCACCCTAACTTCTAAATGATCTCTTAATTCACACAACAGAAGGGTTGCTTTAATCCTTGCACTTAAAAATAATAAAAATTCTTTCTTAATAATTTCACTATCTGTATAGTAAGCGATACTAAATATATCAAAAATATGACAATAGCCGTTTTATGTGTGTTACATTCAAATTTTATTAAGCTTTGAGTTGTTTTATATATAAAGAAAATAATCACTTCATGCATTTTAGCCCTAGGACGTGAGCACTATCTGCTACCTTTATAGACCTCGATTTTCACAAAATTATTAATTTCAAACCAAACTACTCATTTGGTTTTGATCTACTTGGATAGATCTTCATAATAAATAATTTGGTATACAATAAATATATCTAAGACCATTCATTTAGTCAAAAACGTCATTGTCCACGAACTTGTACGTGCATTATGTAAGAATTGATCCCGATTTTAGCCAACCCTAAATCCAGGATCCAAAATTTGTTCGAAAAAATATCCATAAAACTTCAGAATGCTGTTCTATTTGGTTCCTGAAAAGATTTAAAAAACATATTCTTATATAGTCCAATTTAAAACTGCTCCCCGGTTGCTATGCTTTTCAACAATTTTGAATCTACACTACTTCAGAAAACTTTCACATAAGTTTCATCTTTTCTAGTCTTTTTTCCTATATAATTTAATGTAAAACTTTGATCCCCTATTATGGCCCCATCTAGCCCTGGGGGCCACGATTTGAACAATTTAGAATCCATTCTAGTACTGTTCTTATGTACTATGTAGTATAGGATCTTTTACACATTTCATAAATGTTCTAACACTTGAATCCATTCTCAAATCAAGTCTCCCAAAACAGTTTCACGACTGCCAAAGGCAACATATATATATGTATATAATTCTTTCGATTCCATTGTCTGATAAACACATATAGCTTCTTTTGTATTTAATTAAAAAAAGGTGTATTGCATGTTCTGAAAGGCGACTATGCCAGTAGAGAAACATAGCTGCAATTGTATTTGGTGCTCTAAAACTGCACATTCAATTCACCAAATATATATTAACAAGACTCAAAAACTAGACCAAATATTAGCAATGTGATGTCCACCGTTTTCACTCACAGTGCGTTACATGTTCAGCAATTCATGTTATGGATAAAATAAGACTAAGCTCTTGTCTTTTTTTCAATATATATTTAATGTCATAAATTTTCTGTCAATATTAATTTACAATCATATATCTACAAATACATGACAGTAAATTTGCGAAAATGTTTTTTTTAAGTAAAAAATAAATTATATTTCATACAACAACATAATGTGAAATGGTTGTTTTGTAGAATAACTTGACTCAGCCTTTCACCATCATGGCACATTCAATAAGCTTACGAGGCAGAAAATTTCTTTTATGAGAAAGCATGGACTTCAAAATCAAATGCTATAGTCAAATAGCATTATAATAATCTACCGGTAATTTGGCATGTATTTTTTTTCTACATCAGAATATAGCCAAACAACTATGATTGGACAATTTTTGTCCGTCATATTTTTACCATACATTTGTTTATACATAAAAGCTTAATGACCTTAACTGCAGCAGAAATTTGAAATTAAGCTATGCCAGCATAGCTTCAACAGACCAACTTGAACATTTTTACAACAGGCATATCACAAATTGAAGGCAATGGCCACTTCTATATTTATACATGTTGCAATACAAAGAAGTTTTTATTTCCTGATATTCTTACATACAGTAATGCTTTTACTTAGCGATCAAATAAAATCAGTGACAAAATATCCTGCTCAACATGCTAATGTTTTAGCTATTAAAAATAAACTTATCAAAGGAAAAAAAAAGTTGAATTTCAATTAAAATTTATAATTTCAATTGAAGATTCAGAAGAGAAAATGTCTTTTCACTATGTTGGCACTTTCTGATGAGAGGAGAAAAAAAGACATTATATGTGAATACAATGTTTACTGGCTATATATATATAGTTATCACGTGAATACATTTATATATATGCACAACCCGAGTAAATAACCATCTGGCATGGCCAATATGAAATAATATGGAAGACCACCCATCACATCTATAGCACTGGGATTTTTGTTCCATCAAATGATAATTCCAACAGAAAAATCACAGACATAAAGCGAAATTCCTCACAGAAGTACTTGGTTCACCTTCTGCGACCTCAAGATATGCTGAGAGTTATCTTTCCTTGAATAATTTATCACAAAATCACAAATGTGTACCAGTGACAATGTTACTGGCTTTTTTAATGGCTCTTTCCATCATCATCCGATGACCAACTTGAGTCACACCTAACTGAATGTAGTCATTGCGTTGTAGTCCATTAAGCTTTTTCCCATCAATACAATGTTGCTGAAAACTTTTCTTGTACTGAGCCATTTCTATACTGTCCAGCCAATCAAGAACATCCAAACACTGCCAGTTTGAAAGAGGCTTTGACAAGAATGGTTTATTCACAGTCTTATTTGATTTTTGTGCTGGCTTGTTTCCCCCAAAATCTGGGGGTGGGGGGATTACACTGGGGACAGTGTCCTCGCTATTATCATCAAATCCTGGAGGGGGTGGGGCAATTAAGTCCTCGTAGGAATGTTTTGTTTTACTGTCAATGTGGTCGTCTGATAAGGTAGAAAGTGTAGACACAGACGAAGAATCACTATGATGGAAAGCTGAGTTATATGTGGGTGATTCTAAAGTGTCATTAACATTAAACCCTGAGGGAGGTGGAATAATTTCAAGCTGAAGAGCATCCCCAAATTCTGGGGGAGGAGGGAGAGCAGGGGATTTATCAGTTAAAGAACTGTCCACTGTAACCCCATGCACAGGAATTTTGGAATTACCGTCGGACTTTCCATTCACAAGAGGTTTCTCCTTTTCAAAATTTGCGATGCGGTCTTTTATGTTTCTAGTTTTCATCAACACATCAGAGTCCTTAGCAGTCTTCATTGGCGTAATTCCACTTTTGTTTGGGGACTTAGTGGAATGAATCTGCAAAGAACTCTTAGCTGTGTTGGTTTGATTATTCTGAACACTTGTGCCATTGCTTTCCTCATTTTTCAGTGGAAGTGTCATTCCATTTGTTTTGGGGGTAGTTTTGGTTGAAGATGGTGACTCCTTCTTTGTTTCCGAGTTCTCAGTTTTTGTGCCAGCTTTGGAGGCTGTTCTCCTTGGTGAATTTAATTTGCTAGGATTTCTGGTTACATCTCTTGGAGACCTCAGAGAACTACTACTTGATTTTTTCTGAAGCCAATCTTGTCTAGCTTTTTCTGCTTTTGCCAAAAGATCTTCATTTTCATCTTTCTCTACATCTTTTTTATCTTTCTGGGGGCTGGAAGGAGTTGCCGGTGCTTTTGCTTTAGGTTTATCTGGAGTAGTCTCTGGTGCAGGACTTTTGATAGGAACAGGACTGGGTGCCTTTTTGAGTTTTGGACTTGGGGGTTTTGCAGAAGAAGAGTAGATTGGTTTTGGTGCATTCTGTGTTTTTTCCACAGTTTTTGTTGGATTAGGTGCTGTTGTTGTTTTTGTAGCAGATGGCAAAGTTTTGGCTCCTGGTGTGGGTGGACTAATTTTTCTCACTGGGGATGGACTTGGTGGTTTTGTCTTTTTACTGGGTACTGGGCTAGGTGGTTTTGTTGTTTTGGGTGAGACTGCGGTTGGTGTTGTTGGCTTAACAATGGTGGGTGTAATTTCCTTAGCACTAGTCTCAGTTTTTGTTTCTACTTTGTTCAGTTTTTCCGCTTCCTTTTTTTGAATTGACTCACTAGAGAAGAAGTACTTTGCAGACTGCAGTTTCTTGGTTTTTTGTAGTCGGTTTTCTATCTCCTCAGCCACAGAATGATCAGATTCTTTCTCCTCAAGAAGAGCTCTTCGCTTTGCAACGGCAGCCAATATTGCACTGTGTGTATTGTCGATCATTCTGTTCCTAAGGTCTTTTCCATCTTTTACTGGTGCCTCTTTGTTTGGTCCTGTAGAAATCTTCAGCCCTTCACTCTCGATTCTTGTTTTCCTCTGAGCCACAGCAGCCATGATATCCTTTGAAGGGATACCTTGCACAACTGACTTTGGCTTTTTCTCAGACACAGGTGGAGGAGTTTTCGGTTTCTCCACATGAGCTGAGACATCTGGTGCTGGTGGTGGGGGAGGAGGAGGAGGTGGAGCTGGTGGGGCAGGAGGAACGTTAAGTGGCTCTGGTTCTGGAGTTTTTGATGAAAATGACACAGTTTCCTCCGACTTTACTGAAGAAGTTTCATTATTTTTGACAAAGTTCTCCTCAATGACTTTCTTTTCTGTTGAAAAACTAATTTTGATATCAGTGTCTTGCTTTGCTGGTTTCGGTAGAGGTGAGGGTGGTTTATGACCTGGAGGCTTTGGGGCTGGTTCAGAAGGTGGTGGGGGTATAACCATTCCCCCACCTCCTGAGGGTATATCCGATTTCACAGTATATTTCTTTGAACCCTCTGACCCTCCACCCACACTTATAACTGTCACTTTACTTTTCACCTTATCATCATTTTCATCGCTGTCATAATCGGGTTCTGGTTCAGACATTTTCCTGTCTTTGTTCTTTGCATGCACATCTGCAGTGACCAGCAGCTGAGCATTTGGGTGTTTCTGTAGGAATAAATTGGCATGATCTTGAACTTTGTCATCTGCAAATGTGACTCCCAATTTCTCCTCACTGCGCTTACTTCCCCCAGAATCATTTGAATTTACAGAAACTTGACTTGAATTCCTGTTGTGTGAACGGAGTTTGGCTTGTTGAAGTGAAGGAGTTGACATTTTGGGTTCTGTTGTCAACTGAGCAGAAATACCAGGTCGGAAACTTGATTCATATTCAGAAGCAGGCTTCTCGGTAGACAATAAACTATCAGTCACACTGCTCAGAGAAGATTTTCTTCTATCAGTGGATATTGAAATAATTTCTGACTGAGGTCTTTCTGGAGGAGCAGGTGCTGGTCTCTTGGGACTGGGAGTTGATGACCCAGAAGGAGGAGGGGGAGGAGGTGCTTTAGGTCTCTCCCCAGGGGTTGCGTATATGTGACTGATAGCAGCACCACTGCTAGATCGCCTATGCCCAATGTCATTTTGTTCAGTAGAGGGTACTGTTGGTGTAGCATAAACAGCTTCATTTTTCTTATCAACCAGACTCGGAGTACTACTTGACCTCTCCAGATTTCCCCCTGCTTTCTTGTGATGATACTTCTGAATGCGTATTTCGGAGGGACTCATGTAATCCTTAACCTTCCCTTTGGTGGTGGCAGCTTTGGAGTCAGGATTTTCAATCTTGTCTAATTCGACGCATGAGACACGTTTTGCAGAGTGTTTGCTCCTGATGGAAGCTGTCTTCTGGTCAGAAGAAACCACAGATTGAACAGTCTGTCTTTCATATTCGGCAAGTGCTAGATCCAGTTGGTCTGAAATAGAAGAAAAAAAACTTTATAAGCACACTTTAGATGTTCTCTTTTTATTCATGAAGTTAACTGTTCTCTCTCAATTCCTCATCTTCCTCTTATATTTACTTTCTTTTTTTTCAAATGACAAAAATCATTGAAGTGGATATGCTATACATAGAGAATAAAGCAGAATGTTTCACAGGCTAGAAATGTTAGATTTCCATGTTAGAAAGGTTACAAAATATATATATCTATATTTACAAGAATTGATACTCTTGATAATTCTAAAATAAAGACAACAGTTAGAAGATTTACCAGAAAATAGAAGATACACCAAAAAACAAAGTTGTAGAAGCATGTGCAGTTTAGGTATTCAAATATTTCCTACTTCTTTCAAAGTTTTTACACCTTTGCCGATATTTGGACACTTTATGTACCATATGTGTAAAGTGAATTTAAATCTTAAATTGAATCGAAGCCATTATTCTTTAAACTATCTTCTTTTGTTTCTTTTACCATCGTGAAGAATGTACTTTAAAATATTTTATAGTAAAAAAAAAAAAAAAAATCATATTTAAGCTTAGACACAATTACTTTATGCTCTTTGAAATGACTTCATATTTAGAACTGCACATAGAAGTGCTTTCCATAATTATACTCTTTAAACCATATAAAACATTTGGATAAATTCTGATAAGGAGCTATATATAAATCTGACACCATAATCAGAACTATGCCCTACTAGTAAAAGGAAGTTATATATACCCCTTTACTGATATCATTTGTTTGATTTTTACATTGATAACAATGACACAAATTGTTAAATCTATAGTTTGGTCCACCTAGAATGTGCAATTTTAAGCATAGAAATGTTAAAACACCAAGTAGATATCTAGAGTTACAATGCCAATACTTGGGAGTTTACCCTCAGTAGAAGAATTTAGTTCCTGCACAGTTCTCTCTGTCAAACATATGCAAATCAGTCTCATTATTAATTAGTAAAATTAAAAGACAAAAGATTTGGGTCAAAAGAAATAACTGAAAAGAAATAAAAAATTAGTCGAAGAGAGCAAGATTTTATTTTAAATGTATATAATATGTATTTAATATAAACTAAATGGATTTTTGGAGAGAAAGTAAAATTAAAACGGAAATAAATGTCGACGAAACGAAGAGTCCAGTACATTGTTATTTAGAGATGGGCCTCTATTTAATTCATGCTTTTTGTACAAAGTTTTCCTGGATACTTACCTAACTCAGCCATGCCCTCTGTAAACTGTTTTCCCTGGGCTTTGCCCACAGACAGAGAAGTCTGGGGGTCCCTCTGAGGGGGTTGTGGGGCTAAAAGAGATATTAAAATTTATTATTCCACATACACAAACTTATGTTAAAAATATTCTCTTTTTTTTAAGCGAACAGAATTTTTCATGTTTTCCTCAATAGTTAATACTTAAAAAAAAACAGACTTGTACATGTGCCTTAATTATCATATATACTAGAAATGTTGCAGAAGCTAGGTTTTCAAATTAAACTTCCAAATAAGCCAGAAAATGTGTATATGTACATGTATGCTACAGATATCAAATCCCCACAGTACTTGTACTGAAGGTTTCAGCAGCACTTCATAGTGGAATGTATCAGGTTGAATTCACCTTCCATCCTGTGTTTACATACCTTGCCGCCTTGTTCCGCCTCTGTTCGGAAGAGTCATGGTTCCGTTGTGGTGCTGGAGCCAGTGGTCTGGCTTTTCCAGGGGCTTGACGGTCACCACCTTGAGAGCCAGGGTGTCTCCCGACTGGCGGATCAGCTGCACCACTCGATCATGTGATGCCCGCACCACATTCTCCCCATTTATCTACAAATATTGTGTAATTGTTACAAATAGGTATCAAAAAACTCAGTGCAATATGTACAAATGTAACATATGAAACCTTGTATTTTTTTTTTAAACTATCTTCACCTTTTCTTTTACCATACCTTGCATCATACAGAACACCACTCTGATTTTTGTCAAAATAGATTATTTCTCTACTTGTGTACTGAATATTAAAATGTTAATTATTGGTCAGTTTTCCAGTCAAAAGTTGGAATATTTCATGTGTAAAATCATTAATGCTAACAAAATATATATGTAATATTCATCAAAACATATCATTAATGCTAACAAAATATATATGTAATATTCATCAAAAAATAAAACCCTGATCCATTAGGAATTTTTGAGTTTCAGTCTTCTTCCTGATAAAATAATTGATTTTTAGTCAGGTACAGACCATCTCATCTCTCATCAAATATTGATCTGACCCCAACTTGAAAGCTGAAATGACATGTTTTGAACACAAAAGAAGCTGATGGCTTTAGACTTGGCTTTAGAACTTTTCCACTCTATCAGTCACTGTCAGCTGGGACAGGTAAAGCTATTGATTCTTAACATGGGATCTACAGGGCACTGATATAATCGATAGGATAGTGTATTTTCTGAGGAAGTATCCTTTGAAAATCCTATATTATACAATTCATTGTTGATAATGTTTTTTTTCCCCATACATGTTTAATGTATCTAAAAGAGGAACTCCAAAATTGTATATATTCAAAACCTCTAGACTTATTTTTATTTCAATTAAAATAGGGACAACAAATGGTAAATTTCTTGAATAATTCCAAAATCATATGCTTAACAGGAAAAAAAACAACAGAAATTTACTTGATCACTCGCCATGCTGGAGTAATATACATCAACTGAACTTCCGGCAGTCCTTGGGAACTGATTTATCGGAGTACATCAACTGACCATCAAACGGTTTTTGTCATACAGAGATGACATATTCTTCCATAACCTGCACATTACAAGGCTATTTTTGTACCATTAACTCAGAGGTTAAAAAAAGTTTTCAGCTAAATGCCCAAGTGCAGGAAGTCCCTGCCATGAATTTCAGTGTTTTTGCACAGTTGTCACACTTTACTTTTTGTCAAGTATTACAAGAACTTTGAATTTATGACTGGTAGTTAAAAGCAAGTCTGAGAAACTATTCCAAGAGCAAAAAAAAAAAAGAAAAAGTGTGTTTCCTTTCGATAACCCTTCAGATTCTTTGTCTTTTTCATTATTTACAGGCAAGAAAAATGAGACATGGACCCCATACTTACTCCCAATAAGCTAATTTCTAGCTCATTTTAAACATGACTATTTTCAAATGTTTCCTCCATAACAACATACATATATATATTTAAAAGGTACCCTCTTTCCCCCTTTCTCGCGCCTTTAGAGTTGCAATGCAAAAACAAACATGGACAGTATACATTTGATACCCTCATGAATGAAAATCTCTGTTTGACAAATTATCTGGTATCCGATCGCTGAATGCCTGATATTTCTATCTATACATAAGAATTTTGGCTATGATATCAAATTTTTTGTCCTTCCCCAACAGACCATGGTGATCTTTAATAACTCTATTATATACAGAATTGCCAGAGCATGTTGAAACAGGGGGCAACCCTCAAAATTGACAAAAGACTTCCAATTATGTGTAATAATCTCGAGAAGAAAATGGATTTAAGGTGCGTATGGCAATCAATCATGATATAACCAAATCTTATCTCAATAGTTTCTCTGTGGTGTGATGTTGATATTACATACTTGTTATGTTTATAAACTGTTTTATACCACAGGTTGTTATTTGTGTATAAAACATTCAGAAAGGAGATTAAAATTTACTTTATTTATGAAATAGATATTAAATAATTGAGATCAAAAAGTCTAAGGAGGTCAAGGTGTTGATAAAAATCAAATCACAACTCCAGTATAGCCCCTTCCCCAATTTCACTCAAGCAAACTTTGGACTTTCAGTTTCAGTTTATATGGTATTTCTGGTTTCATTATCACTTGATTCTGGCAAAGAACAATTCATACAGAGAAAAAAAAAACACTCAATACTTTGAAATTTTGATAACAAATTAAACACCCTGTCGTTAAAAGAAAGATCAATCATGGTAAAGGTCCTAAAGTTAGGTCTACCCTAAATACCTAGCGGGAAAAACATTAGAAGGAAGGTGTGACATTATGTTTATCAGCTGAACCTGTCTGAAATTGATGGGAACACGACTGCTACAGCTGTTGTGGAGTGCCAAAGTAAACATCTTCAGCAGTCCCACAACAATCAATGGGGGACACCTAACAGCCAGCCGACGCCCCTAGAACTAACAATACCGTAATGATACTGAATGGTAAACAGAACAAAGCTAAAGATGAGTCACAAAGGCAAAAAATGTTAATGTGTAGGTAGTAACAGCAGGCTAGATAGATGTCAGTAGATGGTATATACTATGATCTTTCTGTCTGCTCCCTTTTCCATCGATTTACATGTATAACTAGGTTATAACCTCAAGACATCTATTTCTAGGTAACAAAACCATTTCAGTTGGTTTGTTGTTTGATCTACTTTCAAATGTAGGTATTAATAGTATATGTTACAGTAATCCAATATGATTATCCAAAACCCATGTTGTTCAACTTTCTTTTAAATACAATTGTAAATACAGAACAGAAATTGTATGTATGCACATAAAAAATTATGTTACAAACAGCTCCTCCTTCCTATGTATATGTTACTGCTATAAAAAGCAGTCATGACATCTTGACATCATAAAATTTTCAAATTCATAATACTCAGCTTGGGCTCAATCTATCTTTTAATTAATGGAGGCAGCAATTAAGTCAACAAAGCCACCTGCCACTTATAGTTGACAGATTGATTCCAAGAGAATAAACTTAATAATAGATGAGGGAGTACTATATACCTCCAGAATAAAATCTCCTGTCTTCAGTCCAGCTCTGTCTGCCCTGCTGCCTGGATCCACACTGTCCAGGTACTGTAGAGCCGGAAATTCTGCCGAGGGTCGAAAGTCCAGTTCTCCAGTGGCCTGGGTCTGGGCTGGAAGAGAAAATTTAAAATTTAGTGGCCCAATCTTTACCAAAGCTTTTTTGCAATTTGTTTACATCACCCAATAATACTATCTATTCTAACCGAAAGAGAAAAAAAGTACATGTATTCATATTTTCAAACCAAACTAAGAGCCAAAAGTGATTTTGTCTGTCACACAGATGAAGTAAGGACACAGAAATACCTTCCATGGCTTTAGAATTATGACACTTTTGACAAAGCTGGCCCTTCCTTCTGGACCCCCTTCCCTGTTTGGGCTTTGGCCCCACTGCATAGCACTCCTTTCTGGGGTACACACTACTAACAGACTTCACAATATTCCCCATTTAACCTACTGAGTATCATACAAATTCTGTCCCAGACAATGTGAACTTCCATTTAATACAATCCATTCATGTCAACACTAATGTTTTAGAACCTCTCATACAAATCCTTACAGTCAATTCTATATGTAAAGTCATTATCTCCGAGATGGCCTCAAATGGATCTAAATACAGACATAAAAAGCCAGATTATCCGTAATTGTGGTGAACATAAATCCTAGCTTCAGCTTTCACTGATCCAAGTTCTTATTTTACACTCCATTTTAATCAAAACTCAATCACTATTAAAAAAAGCCTCTTTGGTCCGAAGTTAATAGAATTTCCACCATCCTGACTTCAGATGAGGCTCATGTAGAAACACATCCTGTCTCTAAAGTCATTTAAAGCTGAAAAGTCTTTTCAAAGAAATTACCGATTGTGAACATTTCTGGGGGAAGATTAATATTTTTGGCCAGCAAGCTGCCTCTTGTGGCTTAAAATCTTTTGTGTCTGTCCAATTCGTGTTGATACAGATAAAAATATCTTTTTTCTGTAATGCATTACCATAAGTGAATGCCTTGGACTGTTTGACATATGTATCAAATTACAGGATAAATCCTTGAAATAGTTGACCCTATTGAATTCGAAAAAGTGATCTGTTCAATTTCCACCCTGAATGATTTGATAATAAAATCATTAAAAGGAAATATTTTCAAAGCAGTTCATTCAGACTTTAAATCTTCAGGTCATGTTTATGTTCAATTCTGTATTGAGGACTACAGCCTAAATTTTAATTTCTATCGTTTAATAGATCAGCTAAATACCTGATGTATATATGTATGTGTACCAGTATTGAAAATCATATGGAAGAATTTAAAAAAAAAAAAGAAAGAAAGAAATTAAAGGAATACATCTCAAAAGTAGCAAATTTTAAACCCGGAACTGGCAAAACTTTGATAAATTCTTGATTGAATAAAGAACATTTTTCCTTCGCTCAACCTCAATAAAATTTAACTCAAACTTTTAAGGAATTTTTTTCTTTCCAGAGAAGCCATGAAAATTCCAAAAATTTACTATCTTCCACAGTGAGGTGAATTTGTTTTTTCAAGGGTTTTGGAGAAAACTTGAACAAACACTTGATATGGATGCTGCAGTGAATGTTGTTTAATCAAACACAGGGCAGTTTCAGAAAATAATGCGATAAAAGGCTTTCCAAGAATTAGGCCACTGAAAATAAACAGACCAAACAGTACAAATGTTTAATGAGATTAAAAGATTTAGCATGTTACACTTTGAAAGTGCAATGTCTTTCTAAATTAATCTTAAAAAAAAAAAAAAAAAAAAAAAAAAAAAATTCACTGAAATATTTTAATTCATGAAGCATTGACAATTTAGAATGAGGAAGACTGGTGATGATTTCATTGAATTGGATAGAACAACTTGGACATTACAAACAAAAAAAACCCTGCTGTCATTGATATCAAACATCAACACATATGTATGCCTATGAAATGTATTCCCCCATATCCAATTCTGTTTGAAAAGGACAATTTCGGATTTATTTCCATTACTGAATACAAATATAAAAGCAATATGGCACACATTATAAACTGACCCTAACAATAATGAAGTACATGTAGACCCGGTAAGAGTTAAGGGGTAGCCATTCCAATCTGAACTTTTCTATCTAGAGTCTAGTGACGTACAGGGTTTACTCAGGCTATCACAGGTCTCTATAAATCAAACAGAGGACATCCCTACTGATAGCATTCCACCCATACCAAGCCTGATAAAAGGCACCTCAAAATTCACAGTTTCTATCTACCTATGATTGCTATGAAATCAACATTTTTTTTTTTGTTATTTTTAAAAATTGTCATTCATGGTAATAAGGTTCCCCAGTGGGAACCTCCTATGCTGAAAGATTGACTTAGGGATATAGAGCAAGTCAAATATATATTTTTAATTGTACAACTAGGAAATTCAAATTATGCTTTTTTTGTAGATAATTTGTTTTCTTGTCTTTGGAGACAGCGAAACTCTACACGTCAACAAAGATTGATCGGCAATGTTTTTATTTCATTATTCCTTAAGGTCCTGTAATGATAGGACAGGAGAACCAATCAGACTCAAACCCAGAAAAATCACTTCTACACTATCATGCTTTATGATGATAAAAAATCCCTACAAAATAAACATCTAAAGGATTAAATGCAGCCAAGTCCAATACATAACCCTTTCAAACATAAACATGGCCTTTATTTGTGTATATAAAAAAGGACATTATTTCACCTTCCCAACTCTTCATAACCCATTCACAGGTATGCAAGAGGGGCTCAATCGGGCAGTCCAGTATAATTTATGTACATGTAAATGTATGTAGACACATCTATAAAGAGATATTTACTGGAGGTGGTTAACCATACACAATCTACCTATAACCGCCAGCAGGGTCCAAAGATCAAAGCCTCATCATGACCCGTAGAAAGGGAGCTAGGGACACTGAATATATACTTTAACACCGGATCTTTTTTTGTTGAGAAAAACAAGAGAAAGTTGTATTCTTGCCAGTGCATAAGTCTCTGGGGCTCAGCCAATTCATCAGCATCAACAGACTGAAAGAAAGCCTCTTACCAGACACCAAGATCACTTCCAAAGCAACATTCTCATAAGCAGCTTACAGAGTGCTAGCAGAGAATTAGAGGTTAATGCTATGTGATAATTAAAAGTACTTTGCAGCAATGCTGCATTAAAAATGTTCGGTAAAGTATTGTACATGTCTGGAATGGAACTATAAAGCTAAATATTAACCATTTATCTTCTGGCAGTGTTGTTTAGCAGGTAGGACAAAGACCCATAGTGCTGTTCAATATTGGTTACCACCACATAATAACTAAGTTCCACAAAGCCACAAACAGCTGAAAAGACTTTCAATGTCGTACGACGTTTCAAGACTATAGGTAATTCCTGCAGACAATTAGGTCTATTCTACAAGCAAACTTCATTAAAATACCCTATATGCCAGCCAACTTGAATTCTTGTCACCTATTAACAAAAGGTAATCTTTTCACATGTGGGAAACTACATTGAATAAACAACAGAACTTTAACAATTTTGAAAGGCTTTGTAAGGTAACTGAAAAATGCAAGTTATAATTCAACATACCTCTCCAAAAAATGAAAAAAGCAAAACAATCCCTACACCTTCTAGTAAACTCTGAAAAGAGGCCCATTGTTCCTATACTTATATGTAAGATGGATCTAAAGAGATGCTTATTATGATCAATCTATTTCTTATAGATTACCTTCTTCAAAGTATGCAACAGCTGGGGCTTTGGAGAAATTTCTGATAAATACCTCTTTATTAAGAAAAAGATTACTCATACAGTGTTGGCTAACTCAATGTAAAATCTGCATCCTGTTGAACCACCTGAATGAAAAGCAATCATCCACATTTTGTGTCTTTTTGAAAGTATGAGAGATCAACAGCAAAATTTATACAAGTACTAAAATTTGAATCCGCTTTATTTGTAGTGTTTAAAAGTACTTCTACTTGAACGCAAATTTTCATGTTACTGATGAAAAGAAGAATAAAGTGCAGTTATATGACCTATACAATCGGCTTCTATTTCCAGAAAGTGCACCTTCTGAGAAAGAAATACCTACAGAACAAAATGGTAGACAGCATTCAGGTTTCAAATTGTGAGAAAAATCACAATGTTGACAGTAACTACCTACACAAAGCACAGAACTGAAATAACTACAGGCAAAATATTTACCACATAACAAAACTAAGTACCATATGCAAGCTGAACAAACCTAAACTGGCGTGAAATTAAAAAGTGTTTAAGCTCATCCCTAGCGGGCCAAACAGCCCACCAAACAGAGGAATTGATAGCCATCAGGATTTACAGAACATCAAGAAGATGTTAAAAGCATTCTTTTAGTAAAAGAAAACTTCCTAATGTCAGATACCACGGTCGAAAAGGATGTCTTACCAAATAGTACAATAACGGTCGTAAGGTATTCCATATATATTTGGTTATACGATGTATTAAATACACTTACAGGCCCAAGGCAATGCCAAGATGGAAACATGCATTTTCGGATCTCAATATCCCTAAACAAAATTCATTAGAAAATTGATGGAATTTAAAAGCAATCAAACATTATTTTTGACATTACTTGTAGAAAACATAAAAAAAAAAAAAAAATCAGAAAAGCTTTCAACATTGCAGGTGGACTGTCAAATTAAAATAAATCAAAATGGATCATATCATCTGGGGTGAAATCAGAGTGGAAGAACATGAAGGTTTGTTGGATTGTATGTATTTTCATGAATAACTTCTATCCTATTTCATCCTTTATGTAGCCTGACTAAAAGGAACTTGAAACTACATATCACCGTACACCTGTGAAATTCAATGTTACATACAAACAACATTTAACAACAAGCTCTTGGCAAATGTCTTTAAGTTTTCAAAAGAAAATCTGGGTTCAGTGAAAATATGTCAGGATCATAACAGGACAGAAAAAAGGTTTCTTTGGAGTACAAGCAAAATATTGCAAACTCTTAAATTATTACATAATCCCATGAAAAAAAAAAGTTGAACAAACTTCACAGACAGTGGGGCTCCATGCAACATTAACAAAATGGAAGCTTTTATACCGCAAAACCAAAGATGATGACTATAATATTTTTGATGACTTGGTCATTGCACCTTTCTTGTCTAGCTTTTGTAGTGTTAATAAAGGAAATTAAGCTAGACAATCCTTTGAACATCACCAGTTGGTTAATTCTCGAACAGTATTTAGGAAATCTGGTACTTTACTTAAACCTTAAATTCTGAACATTCCAAAGCCCAATCCTCACAAAAGTGACACAAATAACCCTACAACACACAGAAATAAAAAAAAAAATCATTTTTTCCCAGGGGGTCTACTTTCAAAATTAGGTCATCAAGTATTAATGGAGGTAAATGCACTTATCAACTAGTTGATCAGAAATGAATAGGTGTTGATGAAAGGACCCCATCAAGTGTAAATTGTTGAAAAGTCAAAGGAGATTGAAAATCCCTGTGTTCAACGACCATATCTTCCACATTTTTGTGTGTATTCATGAATGATGATTGGTATAGTGGCAGCTAAATTGTATGTTTAATGCTTGTTTCTCAACTCTAATGGCAAAAGATACATGGAAAAGCAAATGAAATTTGATTGTGGAGTCCACACAAATAATTTTCTACAAAATCTGATGACCTCCTGAACCACTAGGGATTGTACCGAGTGACCCGTATTTGAAAATTCCTTAAAGGCATATCAAATCCGTGTTCAAACAGTGTACAATTCCTAAACAGAGATGTCTGTTATTAAGTTTTTCATGTTAACATGTACAATTTTACATTAAATTTTTGTGTGTGTGAATACGTACATTTTGCTCCTCGCAACACAAATCCATATCCCTCTGGCCCCTTCTGCAGCACGACTGACCTTGGTGCATATTCACTGAAAAATACAAATACAGCAATAATTTTTTGTAATCATGCAGCATTAAAATACAACTAATTCATAAAGCTTGATGGAAATTTCTTTTCAATTTTCTGGAGTGCTAGCAAGGCTCTAAAAACCCTCTGATGCAACCTATGCAATCAAGAACATTTGGAGGTGACCTTCTGGTTTGACCCTGACTACACTGCACTACAGAAATGACTTTGCATATACAAGTACCTGATACAGAATACTCCATAAAACGTAATTAAACATGTACTCCAATCATAACTCACCTTACATAAACAGATTTCTGTAATTTTTTTAATTTCTTCTTCTCAAATCTGGATTTGAACATTTCTCTTTATCGATTTCACAACACTGATCACTTCCTCAGTGATAAAATAAAAGACAGCTAGATAACATCCAATGTTGTGTGTCACAAATAAAAAAACCAAATATTTCCTTTTTTGTGTGTTAAAGAAAAAATACAAAGTTAATTTCCAACAATAGATCACTGCACAATGTAATATAGCACTCTATTGTCAAAATTTCTATCATCTATCCACATGTATAAATATATCTGTGCGATACATGATACTGCATAACTTTCCATCCATTTTGGGGTGCAAATGATAGTAATAAAATCAAATTATCACATATTTAGCACAAAAAATATCTATGAATCTAAACACAATCCATACAAAAATCAATAGACTTTTATGACAGGAAAATTATAAAGCCTACAGGTGAATATACACATGTAAAGTATGATATATTGCTGTATGATATGATGTTAGATTGCTGAAATCATGTGATCGCAGTCTAATCAGAGGTGGGACCCGTGCTGTTCATATTTAATCTCTATCTAGTAGTAGCTTAAATATGGATACAATCAAAAGGACACTTATTAATCTAATCTTTGTCAAACATGGCTACTTGGACTCTGAAATCTAAAGTAAAATTAATCCTAATTTGATCCGAGTTGGGCACTATCGAAAGTCCACTATCCATCTTTTACATGCCAAAAGATTAATTAGTGTCCAGGTAATCAAAAATCTATTTGCTGACTTACTAGTTTATTTTAATCCAGCTTACTAGTAAGATGTGTGTCAGATTTTCTGCGAGTTTATTGGTTAGGTATTAAGAAACAGACCTTTCATTCGTACTTTATTGTATAATACTCATTTCAAGACTATTGGTCAGTATTGGAACAGCTAGGAAAAGAGAAAAAGTGTGGCTGGACTGGGAATAGAACATGCTACCCCTGCATCTAGTCAGGTGCTCTAACCACTGAACTTCTCAGGCCGATATCCATGACCCAAACCTTAACTGTACACTGTAATAGTCAATAATCTTGTATACATTTATTAGTAAATGGTGACTTTTGAACTAAATAGTGTATAAAATGTAGATCGATGGATGACCAATTCTTTTATTTGTGATATGATCGATTCATTACTTCATGTATTAATTAATTGATACACTGTATGGTATATATTAACAGTTTAGCCTCATAATTCTATGTCCATGTTTTTATAAATTATTTTTTGCAATCCATCTTTGTATATTTTTTGCAATCCAAATTTGTAAACAGTTCTTTGTATCTCGAGTTCAGCTGTTTATATAGACCTGATAGATCTATATGTATCAGTAAAAAATGTTGTGTTAATTGTTCAATGACAATACTTCACTGTCTGGTTTGTGATAATTGTCAATATTTAAAACAGTCTTACATATAAATTTATGATATCTGAAATCAAACAGGAGTTGCATTTAATAAAACACAACTTACAATGACCTTGACCTTTGAGAGATCACTGACCTATCCAACATCTATCATCATCAATTCAAATTTAGATCTGGTCAAGATTAAAGTTCTTGATGAATAAAAACAGGACATAGGAAAGGGACATTTTGCTGTTATCAGACACTTTATATTTCCTTATTAGGGGGTAACTTGGGTTTTTCCATCATCTCAAATAGTCTAAATCTATACATACCTCATACCACTCATATACCTGTACTTCTAAGTTATTCAGGTATTTGAGATGATTTTTTTTGGAAATATAATGACCTTTATTAAGAAATCCAACCACACCTCTACATACAGGTATAGATATACATAGTCATAATCAAGTAATTTTGACAGTCTAGTTAAAAATAATTTTCCCATTTTTTCCCAATCTATATGATATTTATAAAATTATACCAAAGACTTATAAAAAAATGTCATTACCAGAATTAAGGAGGAATTATACTTATAAGCTAGGTAGAAAATTTAATTAAGATACGGTATACTTGGAAATCTTTATGAGTATTTATACATTTAATTTGCACTGCATTTTTAAAGTTCATTCTTCCAATCTTCTACTAGAGTTTTATCTTTCCAGAGAAAAGATTCAATTAAGCCAGCCAATACAGAAGCACATGCAGCTACACTTAATTGTTCTTTAACTGTCAACTAAATAAAGAAATAAATACATGTAGTTCAACTTTTTTATACTCAATAAAGAACTATAAATTTTTTCACATAATAATTAAGAATTCAGGCAGTGCCTGATGCCTATATGTATTCTTCGCATTAAATTAAAACCTGGTTTGAATTCTACGCATTTTCCAAATATTAGGTTGCCTAAACCAAAACACTGATTCACCAATTGCATGCAATGTACTATCATTCCTAGAGTGTGTCAACCACATTCATGATTCCTAGTATTGCCCCTGGCCCCCGGGTCACGGTTTATTGAACAGAATTACATATTCTGTGTTACTTTTTTTGCCATAACAACCCAACAGTGTCTAATCTTGTAAATATCTTGCTGTTTACTGTTTTAAATGTGAATAATCAATCACCGTGTATAACTATTTAAATATCCTTGTCACAATTTTATGTGTCAAAGGGTAGTACAGTATTTTTTGAATGAATCACCAGATTTATAGGCAGAACTCTTACTTAAGAATCGGGTAGAACAGACCTAAATATAAATTTCGTAATTCATTATTGATATATGATTCAAGTTTGTTTGAATGACTCATTACTATCTCAGCTATTATCTATTGATTCATGCAGAATCCACACCTAGCTACAATGAATAAATACTTAATTACGAAAATGAAAACAAACCAACATCAAGACATTAAAGACATAAAATATCGAATGAAAAATTCTAGGAGAAACAAAGTGTGTCTTTAGCCCACTGCCACAAAAGTTGACCACTGTTGATAAAAGGCCACTGTTTACTTAATTCATCAAACATGAGACCTGTAATCTTGATTGTGTTTGTATTCTGACAAGACCTCTTCTAAAAACAAGAAGTGAGGTACTCGAGTACCCTGACCCCCATTTCATTATCAAATTGTCCACCACCCTGCCAATATACAGGGGCCAGTGTGAGCACAGATCTATATGTCAACATTACGATTACGACTTTGGTGTTTAGAATTTATATTCTAGCTATCTCAAATTATGACTTTGTCCCACAAATTTATCACACGGAAAATCAGCAAGCACAGGTTTGATAAATCCTTATATCCACATGACACAGGCTTATAAAAAACGTAATTTATATAATGAAATTAAATTGTGAGCATGATATATGACCCTTAAATTGAAAATCTGTCATCCCTCATATATTTTAAGACCACTATAACTATGAGGAAAAAGTAATAATTTTCGACTTAAAAATCCAGAATAAATGTGTGTTTATCATTTTCATGATTAAAGCATTAAGCGGTCATATCCAAAGGTTATGTTCATTAGCATAAGAATGTCGTCAGACATTTTTTTTTAAATCTGTAAATCACAGTGTCTTACCTGTAATAGTGTGTGTTTGGAATATTCCTGTGCAAAGTAAATCCGCCATTTGTAATGCCCTGAGTGTCGTGATACTCTTTTGGTTGTCCCCTAACACTTCCTCCATACACTTTCTCCAAGCGAAGTAAGTCCGGGGCACTGTTATAAAATGCCTGAGCCTTCAGACTAGGTCCCTGCTGTAGAGTTTGAGGAGGGGGAGGTGGAGGTGCATGGAGAGGGGGATTGGATCTGTGGGTGGGGGGTCCATCCTCGAAATCAATAGGGACTGCAGAGAACTGTAGTTGTGGCCTCCTGTGATACACGTTTTCAATAGGTCTCTCCACATATCCAGAAACCCAATTTCTTGGTAAAGTCCTGTTCACTAATTTTTTCTGTTTCCTTAAAGTTTTCTCTCGTTTCTTTTCCTCTTTGATTCTTCTTTTCTCTTCCTTCTCCCTCCTTTTCTTTTCTTCTTTTTCCAACTTTTTCACTTCTTTGAGGAACTTTTTCTGCTCTTTGGGGGTAGCATTCCCCAGTAAGGTGGGCATACTTGAGGAAAGTCCCCGTGAATTGTACAAATTAGACGCCTCTGGTGCTTGCCATCGATTGTTGGGTAGGTCATGAATATCAGTTACACCTTGGCTTTTAAATGGCACATTGCCAGGCTCTCCGTTGTGCAAAGAATGATCACCCATCATAATGAAATTACCTGGTGCACCAGGAGGTGGTTTGTATACCACAAGTCCAGGGGACCTCAATTTCAGGGACCCCCCTGCAGTCATGACTCTTCCGTTGGGAACAGTTCCATTAGGATAGGCCATAGGCCTGAGAGAATTATCCACCTTGACTAGGCTCACAGGTTGACCAGCACTGTCAGATTGAAACTTGGTGTTCCTAGGTAATGTCAGGTAATGCGGATGCATCATAGTTTTGACCCCTGCAGGCGAAAAGTTGTCTGCTCGAGTGACAGGTTTTGATGGATGATAGTTATCCAGTGGTGTGCTGCTTTCGCGGGGGATGATATGATCGAAGTCTACATCCTCTATGTCACCAAAGTCAAAGGAGTCGTCACTGTCCAGAGAAATACCTGTATCGCTGCTGTTGGAATGCCGGGACCAGTTGGTATTGTGGTCTACTGGGCTGAATGTGTTTACATTTTGACTATTGTTGTTATACACAGCCTGGTAGTATTGATTGGCAAGTCTACCGATTCTCTTGTCGA